AGTAGTCCCAAAGAAAATCTTATACAAAAGACAAGAGAACTACTTGAAGATCCCAGAACAAATTAGCCATTGAGATCTTCGACAAATATGTTTTTTTTTTTCTTTTCTTTTGAGTCTCTTCTCTTTTAATTTACAGAAATAGTTTTTACAGTTTGGTCTATCTGCATTTAGATGAGTCAGATCTGATGTAAATGCCACTCATCCAAGGACATGAACTGAAGGGATAACTTTTATGTATCTTTTACAAATTGAGAACAACTCACCCTTGTTCATCCTTCCGTGGAGCGGGTGACCGATTTCACACCTTCATTCACTATGACTTCCAGCACTGCCTACCGTCAAGCCTTTATTGTTGAAATAAATTGGTCCTCAACTAATTTTATTTTGTCTCTTTCGTGACCACTCTTGTAGCAGCAGTTACAGGGCTTCATCAAGATTTCCTTATTTATTTTTTTATTTTTTTATAAAAATGAAACAATTAATTGAACTTAATTGAAGCTGACTTATTATTTAATTTCAATCATTTGAATTAGCCTTAAATTACAGCAACAGTCCATTAAATTACATACTTTTAGATGTGTTTATTTTTAAAATAAAAAAATTAAGCCTATATAATATATATCAAGTTGAATACATGCAACTCATGGGAAAATATGCAATATTAATAGGGTAAACGCTTTGGTTGAACCCAATCTACCTTTCTGTTTCTTAGCGTTTCCCTTTATTTGAAGGAGCAAAAATGGGTTTAAGGAATTCGATTTTTCTATAAGGTGCCATAGAGCACATGATAAAGGTACTAATATTTTTTTTTCTAGTCATTATACTTTAAAATTCATTTATTATAATAATTAAGAAATATCTTTTTATTTTCATCATTATTTACAATTAAACAATTAAAAAAATTCTAATACATTTTTATTTTTTAAAAAGTAAAGGTAAAATTAAAATATTAAAATAGAACATAAGACAACTAAGTTAGATTATCTTTATTTTAAAAATGGGACAATTAAATTAAAAAATAATTCTTGTGGTAATAGTAAAAGTTGACTTAATTAATCAAAATTTATTTATTATGTGTTTTTAAAGTACAAAATAAGAAATAATTATCAAATAATAATTAAATTTTTTTTCTTGAATTAAAAAGACAATTTTTGATTTTTTAATTCAATATGAATAGATAAAAAAATCAAATACACAACATTTATAATTAAAATAAAAATCGACCTTTTTTATAAAATAAAAAGTAATACTAAAATAATTACTCTTTAGGGCATAAGATAAATAAATCGAACTACTAATTAGACCGAACTCACCAATGCCTATGCACCTGGATCAAAACTTCCTAGTCTATGCACCTGTTTGAAGTTCAACCAACCAATTCGACCCATGACTGGTGCGAACCAAACATTTTTTTTTTTTTTTCTCTTTATTGTCGATACCAGACCTGCTTGAGTGGTCTATTTTGCAAACGTCATTCCATAAATTTTAGCATTCTTTATTGGAATTGAATAGTAGGTTAATCTTTTGTTAATTCCTACTTTACATTGTTAGAAAACGTGTTTATTTTCACTGTTTTGGCATTACCTTTCTACAACAAATAAAAATGTATTTATTCCCAATCGCTAGGTCGGGTTAGGTTTTTCTTTGATAATTTTGTCTTTTGCATGAAAAATATTACTATAACGCGAATGACCAGATGGGTTCTTTCTTTTGAATTTGATTTAATTAAAACCGCCTGCCATGTGATGCGCATCAGCGCATGCATTTCCAGCAGCCGCAGTAGCAGCAGCATTGGCCAATTTTTTCTTTGATGACGGCGTGAGGGCAAATACAATTATAAAAACAATTTAGCTTTATTTTACC